GTGTCTGCTGGGACCCTGTTCTCCATGACAAAAGGCCTGGAGGTGGTCCAAGGCAGGGATTACCCATCAATCACCCTCCAGCCCTCTCCCTGGGAGTTTCCTTCCAAGCTTGAATCTGGGACCCAAATAAACAGAGAGGAAGCAGGTGCCAGGGTCTTTCTCCTCTGCTTAACTACAGTCACAGACCTGGGGCTGCTCTAGGGGTTGTCCAGTGAGTTGGCCACTTTGGGGGCTGAAGAGGAAGAGACTCTTCAACAGGAGAGTCTGCAGTCTCTCGCAGCCATCCATTCTTCATTCCCGATGGCTTCCATTCCACTGAATAGAAAATCTACCTGCCAAGGCATCACTGAAGGAGCTCTGGTAGCGCAGTGGTTAGGGATCGGGCTGCTAACCTCAGGGTCAGCAGTTCGAAACTACCAGCTGTTCTAGTAAAGATTTACAGCCTGGGAAACCCTGTACAGGGTCGCTATGAGTCGAAACTGACTCCATGGTACATAACCGACACCAACCACGAAGGCATCACTGAGTTCGCCAGTCCCCGGTCCTTCCTGTTCACCCTGATTACTCTGCCACACTGGGCTTCTCTCTGGATCTGAAGCACTTGCTGAAATGCATTCCTCTGCCGAGAATGCTGTCCCTAAAGCCCATTCTTTACTTTGAGGTCAGCATCATGGTCCTGAATCCAGCTGTCAGCCCTATGATCCACAAGTCTTCACTTTACAAGCCACAGAAAGGGGCTCCATCTCCCAGGGGTAAACTCCCATTACCTAAATTCAGGAACTTGATGCATAAGCCCAGAAATTGATCTGCCTGTGCATAGTCTAAGTACCAAGTTCTCTGCCTGCAGGAGACCTACAGGGAACTAGATCATAATCAGGAAGATCTTAATCAGACAAATTTAATGTTGAATTGCATCAGGCTAAATCCTTTGGCTTAGACTCCATTCTCTAGGGAGGAAGTCTTTGCCAAAGTTTGCTCTTGTCTATGCCCCAGGGCTGACCAAGTCTCTTTGGTTTTCCCTTTTGATAGGCTAGCGAGTTCAGTCAGGTTTAGGGCTATCTCCCTGGCCAGGGAGCCATCTGTGCCTTCAGGAAAGGTGCCTTTGTCTATATCTCTGAGTAAGCACAAGCTCCCAGCACTGAAAACAAACTCCCTTCTAGAGCAAAGTTTTCACAGTGCCCTCTGAAGCCCCTTGAGGGTAGTGGGAGAGCATCTTATTTGATGCTGCAGTGCAGGAAGAGGTGAACTTTTTCTATAAAGAACCAGATGCTAAATGTTTCAGGTTTTGCAGGCCAGATGATATTGTTGTTGTTGTTATGTGCTGTGGAGTCGGTTCCGACTCATAGCAACCCTGTACAGGGTTTCCGAGGCTGTAAATCTTTACGGGAGCAGAAAGCCTCATCTTTCTCCCGCGGAACAGCTGGTAGTTTTGAACTGCTGACATTCCTGTTCACAGCCCGATTCATAACCACTAAACTACCAGAGCTCCTCCAGATGATATTGGAACTACTCAATTCAGTTGTTGCCGCACCAAAGCAGTCATAGACATGTAAATTATAGGTGGGGCTCCGGGTTTCCATCACAACTTAATTTACAAAAACAGGTGGTGCCAGTATTTCTCTCCCTCCTTCTTCCCCCTCCCCCACCATTGTGTAGCACCCAACACAGACCAGCATACAAGGAGTGCTCAGTCCCAGTGCTTTCAAAGACTAGAACACCCTGGGTTCTGCAAAATGTCTTCCCCATTGGGGCTGAGTCCATATGACAGAGTAGAACTGTCCCATAGGGATTTCCAGACTGTGATCTCTACTGGAACAGATTTGGCAGGTCTTTTCCTTCATGGAGTCACTAGGTGTGTTTGAACCATCAGCCTCGACTCCTTTTTCACATTGGTAAAACTGAGCAGTCTGAAGTGAGTTAAGGAATGAGGTGAGGTATAAAACTGACATGATTTTCCAAGTATTCCAAGTCTTGAGAATTTGCACCTATTTGTGAATAAATCATTCCATGACTCAAGGCTCCTGGATGCAAGTTATTGGACTTTGTAAAATAGACTGACTATTCTCTTTAAATGGAATCCTGGTGTGCTGCTGTAGGATACGCACTGGGACGCAAGATCGAGTTGAACCGCAGGATGGCAGTTCAAACCCACCACCCGCTCCTTGGAAACTTTATAGAGGGTCACTAGGAGAACAAATTCTCTTTAGTGGAGCCATGGTGGCAATTCTGAGACTTACAGAAACCCTATACAGACTCGCTACAAGTCAACTTGATGGCCGTGGGTCTAGGCATCCTCCATTGCTTTACTAGGAGAATCTTTGGTAGTATAATGGTTAAATGCTCAGCTGCTATTGAAAAGCTGGTGGTTTCAAACCCATTCAGTGGCTCCAAGGGAGAATGAGCTGGTCATCTACTCTTGTAAAGACCACTGCTTAAGTGCCATCAAGTTGTGTGGTTCCTACTCATAGAGAACCTGTATAATAGGGTTTCCAAGGAGTGGCTGATGGGCTTGAACTGCTGACCTTGTAGCTAGCAGTCCAGTAAACCCTATGGGAAAGTTCTACTCCATCACATGCACTCACTATGAGTTGGAACTGGTATCATTAGCAACAGTCTTATTCAGAGCTAGGAATCAATCAATGCCCACTCATTCTGAGATGGTCCAATGACACCTACCACAGTTTTTTCTTTGTACTTTTCCAAATGTTCTACAACTATCACATTCAAAAGCAACACTAACCATACCACTGTTAGAATACAACCATAGAATTAATAATATAACCACAGCATCTGTCAGTCTTAGAGTTTGCTTTTCCCTGCCGAGATATAAACCTCTTTCAGATTATGAAGGCAGGACTGTCCTTGTGAGTAAGAGAAACAGATCAGTAAGAGAACAGATCAGTTATGGCTAAACAAAATGCTGCTGTTTGTCTTTTGAGTTCTATGAAGCGATCATTATCCTATTCGTGGTAGCAAATGACTACGATTATTTACAAATCCTCCATGTGGCTCCTGACTTGCTGAGAACATTCCCAGAACCTGGGTCCTGAGCTAAGAGTGCAGTAAGATTTCTGAGCTGATGTCAGCCTCTACTTCCTGAAAATTTGATCCAGAATTCCCACTGTCCTTTCAAAACAATATAGATGAACGAAAGTGTGATTCTCTCTTTAAAAGGCAATTTCTTCCCATGCCCACCCCCAGGCTAAAATCATGCTTGACACAGGTGTTCAATAAATAGCTGCTGAAATAAATTGGTAACGAGGCTCCTTCTGGGGAGAGCAGGAGTTGTAGAAACACTTGCACTTTGCTTTTTTACTCTAACGCATTTTGGATTTCTCACCCTGTTTGTTTTAACTTTGGGTATATTTAAAAAATAATTATTTATAATTAAAGGGCGAAAATAATTTAAATCCTCTTAGGTCAAAATAGTTTTACTATGTTTCATTTTTATATATGTAGTTTACAAACGCTTGCTCTGGAAATAAAATTAATTACATGGTTGTTGTCTTAGTAATAGTTGTCTGTCTTAAATTACAAAAAACAAATAAACAAACAAAAACCGGCAAGCATTTCTGTAGCACTTACTGAGTGTAAGGCAGGTCACATTGATTCACTTAATCCTTTTCACAGCTACCTGAGAGGGTGGGGGGCAATATCATTTCACTTTACAGATGAGGAAACCGAAGCACAAGAGAGAAACCATGCCCAAGGCCTGACCCTAGACCCTAGGTAATTAGCTACAATACACATCATCTCAGTATGAGAATTGGAAACAAGCCCAGTGTTAACACCCCCAATCAGTTTTAAATCCATTATCAACTGAAGAGCTTTCAACAAGTAAATATTTGCTGAATGATTTTACTGAGAATCCTCCCAGGCAAGTCTGCCTCTCCCAAATGGGAGGTGGAGAAGTTGGAGAGTAACTCTTTCAGGATAGCCAGACAGGGCCCTGGACCAAGGAGATCTGGGCAGGGAGCAGGGTAGGTGTCCCCTTGAGTTTTGTCCAGCCTCGTGTGCAGTTTCAGTCCCAAGGGGATGGAAGCTGCATGTGCAGAGATTCTTTTTTGGTTTGCTCATTACCTGATCACCAGCATCTGCACCAACGCCTGGCTCTCAGCAGACATTCAACAGAGACTTGACTGTATGAATTTGGCAAAGGCTCTGCTAGGACCAATGGAAGAAGTATCATGGCCGCCATGTGCAAAGAGTTTCCCTCTGAGCCATGCACTTGACACCAGGCAGAGGAAGTCCAACCCATCATTACCCCCAATTAACTTAGAGATGCCTTTACCCTAAAGGACACCTCAGGATTGCCTTTATCAGAAGGATGCACTCTAGAAGCCACTGAAAGAGAACCAACCACATTCCCATTAGAAAGTAACTCAGCCCATATGCAAATGCACTGCCAAATCCTAGAAACCTGGCCAAGCTGGGCTGCGTGTAAGTGCTCAAGAAACCAACATTCCCTTATTGTCTGCCTGACTCTTACAGACAGGGGATCCATGTCTGACTTACATAACTAAGGAAGATAAAAGTGAGGGCCTAAGGGTCTGGGATGGCCAAACAGAAGATGCAATGCTTTCCCCAGAATTAAACCCTTGAAGGGGAGCATAGTTGGCAGTACGGGTGTGGCGCTGTGTAAAAATGCACTGGACCACAAGATCTGTTTGTAACCGCAAGGTTGGAAGTTCAAACTCATCAGCGGCTCCCAGGAAATCCTATGCAGGGTCATTTGCTATAATTCAGAACCGACTCGATGGCAATTAACAACGACACACTTGACAGTGCCTCCCAGGCCCATTGTGTGGGTTTTCTTTGGGTGGGTACTGGGTGTATGACACTTTCAACAAGTCTTGCAACTATAGTCGTTGTCTGGGATCCCAGAAAGAGAGGACCGGTGAGGTAGAAGCTCTGCTCCAGCAACGCCCAGACCCAGCAGCTCACCGGAACCACCTACACCCCAGCACCCTGGCCCACCCACCCACCCACCCACCACGTACCTTGAATGGTCCTCTTGAAGAAAGCCTTGCAGGCCTCGCAGGACGCCACTCCGTAGTGGTAACCGGAAGCAATGTCCCCGCACACGAGGCACAGGCGCTTGGGGATAGCGTTGAGCATGTACTCGCACTTGATGGCCGAATCCTCCAGGATGCCGCTAGCACAGTCCTCGTAGGTCTTCCGGCACGGGGTGCCCCCCAGGCCCGCGCCTGCAAACATGGGTGGCGAGTCCAGGCCGCTGGGATGGGCTCCCAGTGCCATGCCAAAGCCACCGCTGGCATCCGATGAGCCACTAGGGCTGTGGTGACTGAGGGCATCGATGCCCGAGGATGGGCTGGACGGCTCAGTCTTGATAAAGGAGCCGCAGCTGGAGCCGAGGTGCCGGTCGTCTGCAGACATTCTGTTCAGCAGCCTGTGGACACAGAGGCAAGCAGGGGAGTCAGTTCTGAGGAGGGTGCGGTGGGTGTGGCTTTGAGCTCAGCACCGAGTGGGCGGAGCGTCTGGGAGGGGCTCCAAGCTAAGGCCTTGATGAGATAAAATCATAGCTGAGAAGGCTCATGGGCCTCAAAGAAACAGCCCTAAACCAGTTACTGGCATTGCCTTCAGAACCTTCTAATGCATTCAAGAAAGTAGGAGTTGATCAGCAAACTTCAGATAGGCACCCTGGTTTGAGAATTGCTGGCTTGAAGGGCTAGTGATAAGTAACTCCTTATTTAGCCAAAATATTTGGCCAACCTTTCTGCATCAAAGGAATGCTGGTGGCGCAGTTGTTAAAGACTTTGCTAGCCACAAGGTGGGTCGTTTGAAACCACCTGCCACTCCATGGAAGAAACATGTGACTGCTTCCTTGAAATTGTCTTGGGGCAATTAATTTGTGGGGTGGGTGGAGTTTTTTGGTTCCTGTTTGGGGACCCTACACAGGGTCCCTATGGGTGGGAACTGAATCGATGGCACTTAACAACAGCAACAACAAAGCACAGCAATACTACACAGTGGCTACAACTAAACACTTCTGGTGTGACAGGCCTGGGAGCTCACATTATTCATGATGGAGTCCGGGTGTGGCACTGTAGGATAAGCTAACCATGGAATTGGTTGTTCAAACCCACCAGCTGCTTCTTGGAAACCCTGGATAGGGTTTCTATGAGTCCGAACTGATTCAATGGCACTTAACAACAGTGTTCATTATGATGTCCCCACTGTGGCATCTGGTAAACCCCAGCTTGGAGCTCCCCCTTCAAACCCAACACTGAGCCCAGAGGTACCAAGTGACCCAGCCAAGTAAGAATGAAAGAGAGGGCAGATATGGACGGTGGTTCCTATGAGAAAGGTGATTCTCAGTCACTTGCCTAGCCCCTGAGCAGGTCAGCTTCCACCGACCCACTCCATCAAGTAGAAAGGGGGGCCCTCTCAACCCCAACCTTCTGCATCCCCAGCACACTCCTTAATCCCTTTGAGTTCTGCCTGTCGACGCCCCAGAGGGATCCTACCAATATGGTGGCAAGGAGGAATAAAGGGATTCCCAGAAGTGAAAACCCCTCCTCCCAGAACCAGCAAGGGTGTGACCCTCCCACATACCACCTCCTGCTGAGAGGGGAGGCAACCTGTCCCATCTCAGCATGGGCAAGAAAAGCTAGATGAACTAAGGGCAGGGAGGTCAAGAAGTGTTCCAGGAAACTCAGCCCCACAGGCAAAAGTCCTGGGGCCAGCCAGGATTGGGATCTGGAATCAGACCTCAATCTGCACATGGACTGGGCAGGTTGCTTCACTCACCGAGCCTCTTCTGTGGGATGGAGAGATGATAGCACTGAAGAAGGAGGTGAATAGAAAGAGGTTAAGATCCTGGAGAAGTTCAAAAGGCTAGAAAGGTAGAAGAGCCAATTGCTGTCTAGTGAATGCTGATTCCTGGCAACCCATGTGTGTCGAACAGAACTGTGCTCTGGAGGGTTTCCAGGGGTTGATTTTTCAGAAATTGGTCTGAGATCTCTAAGTAGACTCAAACCTCCAACCAAGGGTGTTAACTCTTTGTACCACCCATTCATGGAAAGATGACTCACAGTTGAGAGGGTCTCAGTGCCCAGAGGCTAGCAGAGGAGCAGCCAGGGCCCTACCTCTACAATGTCCCTCTTTCCATGAATTACTTATAGTTAATATATACATATATAAGGAGCTCTGGCAGCATAGTGGTTATGAATCGAGCTGCAAACCTTAAGGTCAGCATTTCGAACCTAGCTGTTCCCTGGGAGAAAGATGAGGCTTTCTGCTCCTGTAAAGATTTACAGCCTTGGAAACCCTGTACTGCGTTGCTGTGAGTCGGAACCCACTCCACAGTACATAACAACAACGACAACATATGCATATGTGATATAGTTAATACATTCTTCCCAATTGGTCATCCCATCTACACTAGAACATTTGCGCTAACAGGAAATTTACCATCCTATAGGTGCAAACTAACATACAGTTTAAAACTACCTAGTGTGTGCTGCAGCAAAAAAAGTCTATCAATCTGCTTCTGCAATGGCTACAGCCAAGAAAACGCTATAGAGCAGTTCTACTCTGTCGCATGAGTTGGAATCAACTTGACAGACACAGGTTTGGCTTGGTTTGGACTATCCTCGTATGGTGCAGTGGGTTAATGAGCTAGCATGCAAAGTCAGTTTGAAGCATGATGTTGGTAGTTCAAGCTCACCAGCCACTCCTTGGAAACCCTATACAAGGTCACTATGGGTTGGAACCCACTCGATGGCACTTAACAACAACGATCAGAAACTGTTTTCCATTTTTTCTCTTCCTCTGGAGCTCGCACCCCATGGTCCAAGTTAAACTCCTTAGGGCCACCCAGAACATATTTGCACCCATCTTCCCCATCAACCCTTCAAAGGTCTCATTCATTTATTCATTTAACAAAGTCATTTACTGAGCATGGATGGACTCTGTCCCAGAGATTAAGCTGAGAGCTTTGGATACAAAGATCAAAGATGCATATGAGGTCTCTAACTCTCCAGAAGTTCATCATCTGTTGAAATGGCCTCCAAGTCACTTCTGTTCTGAACTGAATGGACGCTTGTCTTCAGAGACACCTCTCCAACAAGCATCAACTCGAGAGAGTCTTATATCTGCACAGGATCCCCCCACTTCAAAGTCTCCTCTGAGCCCTTTGACATCTCTGGCTGCTGCCCCGTCAGTCCCCCGAGCTCCACACTGCCACCCCAAGCCCTCAAACCACCAGAAGCTTAGTGTGTCCTCAGGAAATGCCAATGTTCTCCCACTTTCCTGGTAGAATGTAATCTAGAGGCACATCAGACTACAGGACCAGGGACAAGTGCACTTGTGGATTTGCTCCCCAGGGTGGGTAGAGGAAAGCTGACCAGATGCTCTTTCATTGCTGCTTTGGGGGCCTTGGTGGTACATACTGCCAATAAACGCCACTGCTAGCCAAAGGTGGGACATTGAAGTTCATCCACAGAGGTGTCTTAGAAAAAAAGTCTGGTGTTCTACTTCCGAAAGATCTGCCACTGAAAATTCTAGGAAGTATGGTTCTAACTCTGGCTTATGTGGGGTTGCCATGAGTCCAAACTGACTCCACAGTAACTGGTTTGGGGCTGGAGCTGGCTTGTTATTTCACAGGACCAGTCCAAGACTGCTGGGATAAGCCCTAGGTCAGACCCAGACCCCAGGCCTATCTCCACCCTCCCCTCAGGCTCAGGAGAGCATCAGAGATTTGAACTGATACACTTGGCATAAACAGTAATTACAGCAGCAACTATTTTGTAAACTTGCATTTTATGTCCCCTCCTTCATATCTTTAGATGGACACACTAGAAGTATTTCCCCCAAGGGATACAGATGGAGCATCCTATAGCCATTCCCAGAGAGAGAAAGCTAGAACTTTCCCAACTATTGTCCCCCAACTTCATACCTTAGCCAACCCTGTCAGAAACAAGCTTCCGTTCTGTCCCCAAGCCTTGGTTTTGTGATGAAGAACACAAAGCAGCCTACAGGGGCCTTATAAACAAGCAGTGCCTTACCTAAGCCCTTGGCTGGAGACCCTGGGACTGAGACAGAGGCAGCCTCAGCCAGAGCTCCAGTTCCTGCCTTGTGGTGTTTAACGGCACCATTCCTTCTTTTTATACCATCTTTGTGACCATTATTTTGATGTCTTTTCTGGGAATTGTTGCTGCCATTGAGTGCCGACTCATTAGGGGCCAGTAATGGATGTCCATGGGAGTAGCAATCCAGAAAACAATGTTTTGCATTGGGAAAATCTGCTCCAAAGACCTCTTGAAAGTTTTTTAAAAGCAAAGTTATCAACTAATGCATTATGATGACCAATGTATTCCTGCTCCAAGTCACAGTCTTTTCCATCACCTCATCTGCATGGGAAAGCTGGACAATGAAAAAAGGAACCAGAAAAGTGTATGTATCCGGACGGTAGTATTGGTGAAGAATATTGAATATACTGAAGACTACCAGGAATCCTGGTGTGATGCTGTAGGGTCAGAACTGGACTGCGAACCACAGGATTGGTGGTTCAAACCCACCAGCTGCTCCTTGGAAACCCTATACAGGGTCGCAATGAGTCTGAACCAACTCGATGGCACTTAGCAGTAACAAAAACAACAACCAGGAGAATGAGCAAATTAGTCTTAGAAGCCATACAGCCAGAATGCTCCTGAGAAGCCAGGGTGGTGAAACCTCAGCTTGCTTATTTTGGACATGTCAATGGGAAGAACCAAAGTCTATAAAAGGACATCGTGTTTCGTAAAATAGAGGACTGATGTAAGCCAGGGAAACCCTTAAAGGATACCACAAACACAATAATAGATTTAAACAATAAAAGATAGCCTACAGCCCACCTGTCATGAAGACGGCAAAAGACTAGGCAGCCATGAATCCAAATAAACTCGATGACAATAATAATAATTGTGCCAAGTGCTAGCCTGAGAAAGGCAACAGGACAGACTTAGCCTGTGTCCCTAAGACCTTGATATTCACATAGGATTGGCAGATATTAACAAACACAAGTGTGCAAAGAGCCAAAAGGAGAAATGTGGGCACTGCCTTCACTTCACTCATTTAAAGACCCCAGCTTCTTTTCTGGCTTGAAATTTCCTTCCAGGATCTTCAGCTTGTCTTTCCATTCTCAGGAGCTGTCCAGCTGCCCTCTGCTCAGGACGCTGGGTGATATTAGTGACCACTCATCAAGCAGGACTCCTCATGTGCTGCGATAAGATCAGCACTGGTCAACAGTTCAAACCCACCAGCTGCTCCTTGGGAACCGTATCAGAGTCACTATGAATCGGAACTGACTCGATGGCACGTCACAACAACCACATTCATAAGGTGCCAGTCACATGTCCAACACCTTCCTTTCTTTCTACCATCTTAATTAATCTTTACCACCTGGTG